TTTTTTTTTAATGCATTGACTGATTTGGATGGTCCAAAGAACAATTCGTTTGTATTCAAGCATATATTTTATGTCATCAATTTAGGACCACCACTTGTATGTCAGCTTTTCCTACTGTGATGACTTGTGTGTTTCTGTGATGCTAGAAACTATGTCACTGGCATTTCAGATGCCACAGGGTCACCCAAAGTGAACAGGTTACAGCGGAGCTTCCAGACTAAGAACAGTAAGAACGGACAATGAAGGCTTTACATCCCTACTTCAGAGGGAGAAGTACTGAAAATGTATTTACAGCTATGAGACACTGTCAGACACTGAAGGCCTAATGTATGGAAGCAGAGCATTGTCCGAGAGTGCTGGAAGATGGACCTCAGGTTGGAAAGCACTCAAAATGTGACAGAGGAGGAGCTGCCTTATTGTACGGGAGTTGACCATGGTGACATGAGTCAGGTAAAGCTTGTGGGAGTGGAGCCTTCGGGATCTTCCTTTGCTGATGGGGCAGGACCTAAAGTAAGGAGAAATAGCTGCAACATCCGCGAATCATTGGAACTTGGAATGTGCAAAGTATGAATCTAGGAAAATTGGAAGTGGTTCAAAATGAAATGGAACACATAAAGATCAATATCCTAGGCATTAGTTTGCTGAAATGGACTGGTGTTGGCCATTTTGAAACAGGTGATATGCTTTAGTACAGTGGGAATACCACAAGAGGAATGTGGTAGCATTCCTATCAAAAGGACCTTGCAAAATCAATCATGAAGTATAATGTTGACTGTGATTCGATTAGATCTATCTACCTTCAATCAATCAATACAACTCTTATTGAAATTTATGCACCAAACACAAAAACTAGTGTGGAAGAAATTGAAGAATTCTATCAATGTTTTCATTCTGAAATTTATCAAATATACAACCAACATGCATTGATAATTATTGGCATTTGAAATGCAAAAGTTGCATAAAAGAGGAAGAAACAACAGTTGGAAAATATGGACTTGGTGATATAAATGAAGTGAGAGATTGAATGATAGAGTTTTGCAAAACCAAAGCTCTTCATAGCAAATACCCTTTTCAACTGCACAAAAGGCAATCACACACATGAACTTCTCGAGATGGAACACACAGAAATCAAACTGACTACAACTGTGGAATGAGATAATGGGGAAGCTCAGTATCAGCAGCTAAACCCAGACCATGGACTGCCTGTGGAGTAGATCATCCATTGCCCATATGTAAGTTAGACTAAAGCTGAAGAATAAAACAAGTCCAGACAGGAAAGAAAGAAAAGATCAAAGTGGATGTCAGAAGAGACTGAAATTTGCTAAAGAAAATGGAAGAAATGATGAAGTCAAAGAGCAGAATAGAAAATTTCAAAGGGCAGTTCAAGAAGATGAAGCCAAACATTATAATGAAAACTATAAAGACCTAGAATTACTGTATACACTCGTGTATAAGCCAACCCGAATATCAGCCGAGGAACCTAATTTTACCACAAAAACTGCATTAAAAATGTCCTGAAAAACTCGGCTTATACGCAAGTATATACGGTAATAAAACAAAAAGGGAAGAGCACACTCAGTATATCTTAAACCAAAAAGAATTTCAAGTCTTGAGTTGAAATCTTGAAAGATTTTATGGGCAAAATATTGAATGATGCAAGAAGGCCAGGGGATGGAGAGGGAAGAAATGGGGAGTTGATATCAGGGGCTCAAGTGGGAAGAGAATGCTTTGAAAATGATGATGGAGGGATATGTGCAAGTGTGTTTGACACACTGGATGAACGTATGGATTGTGATAAGAAATCTAAGAGCCCCCAATAAAGGTTTTTTTTTTTAAAGAGAGATGAAGGAAAGAATACAGTCACTGTGCCAAAGGACTAGTCGACAGTCTACCATTTCAGGAGGTATCATATGAGCAAGGACCAATGGTACTGACAGAAGTCCAATCTGCACTGAAAACGTTGGCTGAAAACAAGGCTCCAAGAATTAATGGAATATCATTTGAAATGTTTTAACAAACTGATGAAGCACAGGAAGCACTCATTCCTCTGCCAGGAAACTTGGAGGACTTGGCCAACAGACCGGAAGAGATCCATATTTGTGCCAAATCCAAAACCCTGGAGAATGCTCAAACTATAGAACAATATCATCGATGTCACATCCAAGTAAAATTTTGCTGAAGGTCACCTGAATATTTTCAGCAATACTGTGACGGAACTACCAGAGGTTCGGGCTGAATTCAGAAGAGGACATGGAACAAGGGATATCATTGCTGATGTCAGATGAATCTTGGTTGAAAACAGAGAATATCAGAAAGATGTTTACTTGTGTTTTATTGACTATACAAAGGAATTTTCCTCTGTGGACCATGACAAGCTATGGATAATCTTGAGAAGAATGGGAATTCCAGAACACTTCATTGTGTTCATGTGAAGTTTGTACATGGATAAAGACACAGTTGTGTGAACAGAGTATGGTAATACTGCATGGTTTAAAATCAGGAAAGTGTGAGAATGTTGCAGGACTTGCCAGTGGCTTTTTTCTGTTGTATATAAGGTCACTGAACCACCTTGAAGGCACCTAACAGTAACAAGTAATGGCAGAGAAGAGGATTATTATGGTTAAGATACATACTTTTATGGGTTATGATAGTATGGTGCTGTCCAAGTCAATGTTGTCCATGTTGATGCCAATGTACTTTTAATGTTCTTCTCCACTACCATAATTCAAATGTATCAAATCTTCTTTAGTCTTTCTTATTCAATGTCCAAATTTTACACGCACATGAGGTGATTGAAAATATGGCTTGGAGCAGGAGACTTAGGTATCATGTGTTACTTTGTAATAACCTAGTTTATCCAGACTAATAGTACATATGATAAAGTTTAGCAAAATGAGAGTACAGCATATATGGGGCAGTAGCTTGGTGTTTTATTCCAGCTCAACCACTTAAAAGTAGGTGACCTTGAGTATATTACTTAATCTCTCTGTGCCTTAATTTTAGTCTTTTAAAGTGAAAATAACAGGATTCTTGCTTCATAGGGCTCTTTTTTGTTTGTTTGTTCTTTCAATTTATTCTTACTTGGGATTTGACCCAAATGTCAAGTCATTGTATCATTCATTCTCGTCAAGCAGAATTGTACCATTGCTTCCATAATCAGTTCCCAAACATGCTATTTCTTC